CAAATAGTACCGTCTCTATGGTCACCTCAATCCCAATAATACGGTTAAGTACGTTGTTTCTTTTTAATCTCAGTTATTCGACAGTCATTCATCTTCACACATGGCCGTCAACTTTCACTCAACATGAGTAGTCAATGGGGTCTAAGCGGCACAAGGTCAACGAACAATATACTCAGACTAAAGTCAGACAGTTTCGTGCGATTGTCATATTATAAATTAGGTCTTTCGATTGATGTTTCTAAGGCAAAGGAATTTCGGAAGTCCGGCTTAAAATATATTTTAAATAAGTCAATTGATGTAACATATGTTATGATTATCGTGTGATTAGTCAGTGTCCGTAAGACATAGAAATCTTACTAATATTATAAATGCAAATGTTTAGATAGATTGATGGATTGATAGATGTTAGTTAGTAGGTATCACCGGAAAGGCTTAACGGATTTTGATGAAATTTAGCACAAATATAGAACATTGTCTGGAAGACGACATAGGCTATTTATTAGGTGTTTTTTTTTAATTCCGCGCAGACGGAGTCGCGGGCGACAGCTAGTATTTATATAAAAAGAGTTATACCTATGTACTATATAAGTTCAGAATAAGAAAAAAATAATGTGGGTGATTAGAATTCTGATTTTTAACCCAAATTAAATGCACAACCATGGTTTTTTGCATAAAAAACACAAATGACAATTATTCATGCTTTAAAAAATGAAAAAGGAACGCTTTGAACCTTCTTCCGAAAAAGGCGTCATTGATATCACGGCGTAACTATTCGGAGGTTCCGTCATATTTTAGTTTTTTTTCTTTTCTCCTGTTATTGTAGTCTTTAGAATAATATAGATATGCCAGCCAGTAATATTTTGCGGTAATAATTATACACAAGTCTTTTTATTTTAAAAACTTAACAAAAAATAGAGTATGATTTAAATAATGATACTTATTATATTGGTGGGTAACTTGTAACTTACCTATGTTATAAACTTAACTTACTTATGTTATAAAAATGATTTATATAATTTACATTCTACATAAGTGTAAGTTTAAAAAATGCCGTTCTAACGAACGGAATTTTGAATGCATGGGAACAGGTGAAAGCTTACTTTTAGTTGTATTTGCAACGGAAAGTTTTCAACTTACACTGTTGTAAGCTTTTTCATTTTGCTATCTATTATCCAACTATATCGCCTTCGTTAATTAATAATTGTAAACTTATTAATGATTTTGGAAGGTTAAGATAATAGGGATAAACTGAGATCCAACTTTAATTTTTTTTTTGTAAATATTTTTTCCGTAATTAACCAAAAAAATTCATTACCATTTAGCGTATTTGTAAAGGTTTAACTAACACAAGTGTGTCAAATTGGTGTTATAATGTTGACTTCTCTGAGTCATCGTCGGCCAGTAACATTTGTATCGAAAAACAGACATTTAAGAACTGGTTGGTAATTTAACGACCATAAAGGCCGTGCGAGAGCCGAATCTACATTCTTAAAATGAATTTATCAATAAAAATAACGTATCTACAATGTTATTAAACAACGTATCAGATATTTGATTACAAGTCTTCGGTTTAATTAGACTATAAATAATCGTATTACCTAAGAATCTAAGATTCTAAGAAATTAAAAATTTGTTTTTCTAATATATATTTTGACAGTCATCCATATCCATATGATGTTGTCAAGCGAAACGCTCGAAAAATGTGTAAAAAACGTCGTAAAAAACTGCATACTTAGCAATAGATAAACGAAAATGTCAGTCTTCTTTTTATTAAATAATTTGCGTGTAATAAATCACACATGACCTATTTATACTGAGGTCGAGAGTGCTATTAATTTCAGATGGACTAACCAGATAAAGCGTTAGTAATATTAATGTTTATATAGCTGAAAAATAATTTACATATCTAATAGCCATACTTTAAGGTAAAATAAAAATTATATTATTTAAAAAAAAAATTACACAAATTGTGAAAAATCTTTCAGGCATGTCCATATTAAGCGAACGTATTTTTGTGTCTTAAAAAAAACTTTAAGCTCTAACCTCGTATTAACAACGGTCTAAGAGAAATCACCGGCCAAAAATGCGATGGACTCGACCGCGGCGTGGCGCGATAAAAAAAATAATGAGCCAAAGCCCGGCGTTCCGGTAATGTGGCCGTTCATCTTCGAAATGAGAGATTGAATTAGTGATAATAACGGTGGGACGGTGCGGTATTTTGATGCTTCAGGGTTAATGCCACTTGTTTCGTGCCATAATCGAGCATTCTGTATGTCCCCCTAACCTGATTACTCGTTTACGAAGTTCGTTTTTACTCTTTCTTTGCAATGGAAGAATGACGGTCTTACAATAAGGTCGTATACAGGATGTCTCATTACTAATAACTTTTTTAATTATTTTATGTTGTTTTTTTATGTAACTATAAATTCGAATATTAAATCAAAACTGGCAGGATGATTAAGGATTTTTCTTAAAACTTTATAACGTTATACTATCTTCAGCTTGAAAAAAAATGACAAGAACCAACGTAACAATGACAAAAAAACATTCGTCTAATTAAACATACAATAGTATGACCAGTAAGAAAAATAACATAATAAAAATCGAAGTAATAAGCGTGAAATTATCGATGGCTGTATAAGATACGCTAACTGTAAATAAGTCAGGTTTTGTTTGTGTTATTGCCATTGACCCGTTGACCTTTCTACTTATATATGCTAAAACTTGTTATTTAATTTAAAGTTGATTTTTATCTCATATTTATTACATAATAAAAACGACTCTAATATTTTTAACATTCTTTAATTCAGACTGTGTTAGCTATAATAACTTAACGATTCCTATTTACATCGATTTATCGCCCCCGAAACCCCCTATATACTAAATTTTATGAAAATCGTTGGAGCTGATTCCGAGATTCCATACAAGAATTGCTCATTTAAAGATTTTACATTATTTATACTAAGATAAATTGCACTTGAATTAAAATATAACCTTAAAGTTTCATGGATAAGGTTGGATTTATAAAGTCAAATCCTGTGATTTTGATTCCTTCTAATTCTTGAGACTGACATATACAGTTTTGAAGGTAACTAGACGTTAAAAGTATTTATTATGAACTTAGAGAATAAATCAGAACTATAAGCATACGTATATTACCAACATGTTTATTATATTAAATAATAACTAGCTGTAACTCGCGACTTCTTCAAAACAGAATTTAAAAGAAGTATCTATAATATGACCGCATTCATCAGCAACAATCCCGTCAAAGTCCCGTCAAAATCGGTCCAGCCGTTCCGGAGGTTAAACGGAACAAACGCGGCCTTGTAGACAGACATACAGACAAACAAAAATTTTATAAAATTGGTCTTCGATTATCAGCAACACAAATATATCACATGTACGAAATTGATTTTTCCTCGACATTATTATACGTACAACCACTTTAATTTTATTATTTTATTAATATGTATATTAACGGTAATCTATAATAATATTACGGTAATATTATTAATTTCATGAGCGTCGGTGGCTCAGTGGTCAAGCACTTGACTTGCAATCTGCAGGTTCTGGGTTTGAATCCCGCCATGAACCAATGTGGTTTTTGGATTTCTGGTTTGTTTGACAGTGAAGGAAAACATCGTGATGCAACCTGCACATATCTGAGAAGTAATTCAAAGATATATGTGAAGTCAACAAACCCGCACTTGGCCAGCGTGGTTGACTATGGCCTAATCACCCCTTACTTAGTGTAGGCTCCGAGCCCCTCGGTGGGGACTCGCTGATGATGATGACTATTCATTTTCGCGTAGTAATATTGGTAATAGAAAAGAGATAGCACTAATATCAAACTTGAACAGTGTTATGTTTTAATTGACTTCATTTGTTGTTATCAAAACAATAGACACAATGGAGACGAACGTATCAATGATAGAAGCCAGCCTGTCTAGACTAGAATGTTTCAAAACATTGACACCGATACATCTAATCTTATGCAGTACTATTTACATCCAAATTAAATTTAATTCCATAATAGATGCCTTCATACAGAGTAAAGTTTTACACATAAAGAGGAACACGTAATACGGACTGCTTCATCTCATCGTACAAGAAAAGATCAAAGATGAATATCCTGGCTTAAGAACCTACGCACGTGGTTTGGAAAGAGTATTCGTTCGCTTTTCAGAACGGTATCAAGAGTGTAAGTTGCCTTAATGATCGCCGACCTTCGAAAGAAGATGACACTTTAAAAAGAATTCCAACCGTTGATTTTCATTGCTGTCAAATCTGTACTCATAATGTCGTCCCTATGTTTCCCTTTAATACAGACACAATATGTTTTGGTACAAGAATGTCAGCAATGGAAACCCAGACTAACATCAACAATTATTATGGATGTGTTCGTTTATACATTTTCTAGGCACAACTCATTGTAATGTTTTGCAAATATTACAAGAATTTCTGTTAACTCATTTTACTTTTAAAAGCAGTTGTTACTTTTTTATGAATGTAGGCATATTCCATGATGTTAATTCCTAGTTAACACGATTAGCATGGATAATCCTTACAAATACTAATTAGAACCTTCGAAACGGTTTCACTAGACTAACACGACTTATATGGCTTTAACTTTGTTATAAAAACAATGTCTATTGCCTGCCAGTAATGTTAATTTAGAAAAATAATTGACTACCACTGCAATATAGATTTTTATTGTCCATTGCCTGTATTCAGTAATTTAAAAATAAATTGAACTTTGAAGAGCAGAGTACTGGCTGACATAAAAGTCATCACCCTCTTTTTGACAACTTTATAATACTTGACACTTCATCCATGTTTAATTAGCAATGATAAATTCGTGTAAATCGTTTTGATTGGAACATCAATTTAGTTATTACTTTCGTGTAAATTGTTTGGTTTGGTTCACCAACCCTAGTACTTGGGTATTGTATAAATCGTTTGAAATGGTTTTCAAAATGTAAGTAGTAAATGCTTACTGAGTTCGGTGTCGCAGTCTGTGTATTCATGGTTGCAGTCGACAGTGTAAGCGGCGGCCGTGGTCAGAAGCGCCAGGACCACGGCGCACCACAGCGCTACTGCGCGTACAGTCCACGCCATCACCGCTTCGCCATCTGTAATGATTAGACATAAGCGTTTTAACATCCTAATAATTATAGTTAACTTAACAACTAATAATAGCCGAGATCAGGGTCGTTAATGGATGCTCTTCACTAAGGGCAAGCACTACACTAAGTACGACAATAAAACTGACTGATCTTTGCCCTTTTACGGGAATAATAAAAATTGAACCAATAGTTAAGAATTTAAAAAAATCAAAGTTAACGATAACAAACATCTAGTGTCACTTTTTTGTTATAGGCAGTCGTTTTGTTATGAGCTAAATTTAGAGCTGTAATTTAGTTTAACTTATCACGGGTCAAATAAGTTTGTTAGTCTGTAACTGGCAACTATCAATGTCACATTTGACAAGCGTATTTTTTATTCCAAATTCAAATTTACCGTTTTGCATTTCACTATTACCACCTGTAGGGGTCGTTGAACTGTTGTAATTGAATCTATGGGGCTCCGATGTTACTGTTCATTGTAAATATTATTTTTGCTACTTCGTTTCGTGATAATATGAAGTGTTGGGATTGAACGAATATTTAATAAAGAAGACATTTTTAAATAAACTAGTTGTGGCCCATTCTTATGAACGAGACTATAGTTCATTCAATTTTGATCTTTATGAAAGTCCTTTTTTAAAGGCTATAAACAAAGATATTCTATAAAAATAAATTTATGCAATCTGTGCTCCACATTAACTTGAACTGTGGCAAATTCACGATCATCAGACACAGCGATTTCCTTAAAAAGGGGTACTAAGTTTTCGCTTCACTTAATATAACGATATTAAACTAAAATCTACATACAGCGATTTATCAAAACGTTTTTTTCGTTTTTTCCCTACGTTATAAATATGTGTCAAATCCTTTTTTGTTCCCAGCATAAGCAGCTTACGATTAGGTCATCTTTCGTTTCACTTACGTAATGTAAGAAGACAACAATGGCAACAGACGTCATTTTTGTAACAGTTTATGAATCATGTAAATATGCATTCACTTTCGACAATCGTACGGTAAAGATAGTATGAAATGTAAGAACAATTTAATATCTTACTAATATTATAAATGCGAAAGTTTAGATGTTTGTAATGATGGATGGATGTTTGTGAGAAGATACCTCTAGAGCCGCTCAATGGATCTCGATGAAATTTGACATAGATGTAGAACATAGTCTGGAAGAATACGTAGGTTTCTAATTTAATTATTTTAATTCCGTTGTACGATGTGACAGCAACTTATGAATAAAAAGTATGGCATAAAAAATGACGTAGCAACTTGGGTACATCATCATCAGCTCACTATAAGTCCCCACCGGGCTCGGAGCCTACCCTTAGTCACGGGTGACTAGGCCAGTCAACCACGCAGGCCCTAAACTTGGGAGTTTAGTCAACCAACCCGCACCGCAACCAATCTCGGAATTCTTCCTTTTTGTACCCATACAATAAGGAAGAATTCCGAGATTACCAAAGGTATGGACTAGAAAATTTAACTTAGGACTGTTGAACAACTTGAGGTGGCATATACTGCATTACATACATACGATGAACGTGGTTATTACGATATTCAATTATTGTTTCATAACAGATCGAAGCCATAATAATATAAAAACGATCACGTAAGAACAATCTTGCACAACAGCCGCGCAAATCGAGCAAATAACGCACAGTATGATGTTTGAAGGGTTTCTTTGTACACACCAATAAGATTAATATTTCTAAATGTTGAACACATAGTTGTGTTGCAAATAACTTTACTTGTACTTTTTTTTAATTAAAACATGACATAAATATTATTAAATCTAGTTTTTCGCCAAACCAAAAACGTGGCTCAAGCTATTTTACCGCTTGAAATCTTTATTATAATTAATACCTGCATATTTAATTGGTCAAAAAGAGAGTCTTTAAGTATATTTCTTACATTAAGTCCACACTAAGGGTGACCATTTAATGATTCTGTGTGCGACAGAAATAAAAACCGGTAATAAAATAACAGTCCTTCTTATTCTTTTGAGGAGAAAACTAATGTAAAATTTAGCAACATGGTAATTGTGATTTATAAAATGAAGGAGAAATTTTAGTGAGAAAATGTAATTTTTGTAAGTTATTGTAAATCTCTTGGACAGTTTTACACACTACAAACAAAGAGTCGTAAAGTTATTAAGGCGAAAGAAAGTATGTACGAAACACGTCGCGTTTGACTGCTTTTACATGACCTTCAATAATACAATGGGGTATAATTATGTGGACCACAGGTGAATACTGCTATATACCTGGCTCCAAGCCTAACCCTTAACCATAGACAAATTGTAGTTTACGTTAAAAAAACTAAAATTTCAAGATACTTATTTTGTAACACATTAATTAGGCTCATTTTACATTCTTATTTTATCTTACAATTTTCATTAAATAGCTATAGTGCTTCTGTATATTTAATTTCGGTTTTAGAAACAAAGGATATTAAGAAACAGTTCTTTTATCACTTAGGGTCATCAATCAATTTTTAGTTACTTACCAGTATTACTATTATTAGCCGACTTCAAAAAGAAGGAGATTATCACTTCATCTGTATGTTTTTTATTTGTGTTACCGCGTTACTCAACCCCTGGTGCTCCGATTTTGAATTTTTTTTGATCGTAAGGCGTGCTTTAATTTATTTAAATTATTTTTTAATAATTATTATCATATGAGTTAAATTAAATTATAGCATGAAGAAATTACAATTGCAAAAAAATATGTCTCAAATAAAACGGTAAAAAAGAAGCGTCAATAGCCTAATGGTTAAGGGTACGGATTCCCAATCACGAGGTCGGGGGTTCGAATCCCACCATTCGACTATTATCGTAAACCATATCCTAGCACAAGCCTAGAGCTCAGTTGGAATGGTAAAAGAAATATAATTTACAAAAAAAATCTGCTTGAGGGACGCTTAGGACCATCGTAGAATAGATCATTTAACAAAGCATAAAAATTACTAGAACTATTATCAATTTTATATCTAAAATTAATTAAAATATCTTACCTAATAATCGTTCCATTAAATTACGAAACACTATAGACATTACACTTTAACTATACGAGTTTTAGTTTCTAGTCAATAAGACGTACGTACTATTGACATCTTAAATCGCTATGACTAGAAAAGCAAGTGATACCACTTTAAAAGGCTAGACATAACTGATTCTTTGATAGTTATAACAAATTTAAAATACTATTGTTTTAATGTTTGTATTACGTGTTGTTTTAATAAATCGTAAACATTTTCATCATATCAAAGAATAAATATTGAATTTGAATGAAATTGAATAGTTTATCATCGTATGCTTCGTAATGATTGTTTATTGAAATTTGTTTAACGATCTTCTGAAATTCTATACCACTCTTTTGTTTATCCTTAGCGTAATAAACTTCAAAATTATCGTGCTGTTATTATGTATTGTCTTCTATATTATGTAGTGGAAAGATTTGTATATTTTTTTATAACAAATAAACTAAAAAACTACTGGACCGATTGGAAAAATTATTTTGCCTTTAGAAAGCTACACTATTAGTGAGTAACATAAGCTATATGTATTACTAGAAAAGTACTTTTTAATTCAGCCTAGGCAAAGTTTGGGCAAAAGTGATCAATAAAAAGTTTTTTTTTACATCATAAGGTGGTAAACGAGCGAGCGGCCACCTGAAATCGCTGAAATAGTGAAGTGACCGTTGCCCATAGACATATGCAATTGCATATGCGTTGCCTACCTTTAATCGACGGAGGAGAGGATGCACAGAAAGAAAAAAAAATCCATGCATCCTCTTATCCGGAAAGTCCACTTCTGCTTCCCATCCTTTCCTTATAAGAAAAAGGTGGGATGGGAAAGAGGACTAAATTAGGCCTCCGGGACGCACACTCAGCAGACGAAACGCGGAATTGCTTCCACTTGACGCCTGTCTTCTGTGTGGTCGTGGTATTTCACCGGGCTAGCCGGGCCAATTCGTGCGAAGATGTTGAAGCGGGCTCTACCACTGTTAAAGTTGACTTAAGGCAACGTCTACCATATACTTTCCATTGGCTTCCTATAGCTCAAACGTCTACATTTTAAAAATTGAAGTGTCATTATTTTTTTTATTGAAAATATTGCCTAATAGCGTCTTTATTTCTATTCCATGACATATAAATAAGACTTATGTGTCTACAATCCACTACATAAGTCAGGGCCATGAATAACTTTGAACATGATTTAAACCTAATACCTTTTCAATATCGACAACAGCACGTCCTAGCTATCGCATTAAACTTTCTGAGTCTTCGTAGTCCAAGAAATTCACACTTATAATTGAACTAATTGACATTATATGTTTGGCTTCTAAGTCACACTAATGAAGTTAATTTTACCCAGCTGTTGTTAGAATTATTGTACGAATTTAAGTTATTCTTCAAACTGTTAACATCAAGTTTGGAGTTCTTAGTTAACAAGGAGATTCTATTATAACTGTTAATATAAAAATTTGCATATACTTATGCCGAGACAACCCACAATTGAGCCGTTTTAATAGCATCAAAAGTTGCAAGTTAACGCACACGGGCTGACAACAAACCTAGTTTACGTCGTGAAATCGCGTCTCTTGCAACTAGGCCGATTTCTTCATAATATCATCTTCCCATAGACTCGGGGAACTGGGTTATTGTTTTTGTATTGATTTTTTTAGCTATTCATTAGCATATAGGGATAATACGTGAATTTTTATTCAAACAGTTTGCAAAACAATCTTCGTCTTAATAAAAATTACGTTAAGTTGTAAGTAGATAAGCAAAATTGGAAAGTATTTTCGTCTTAGATATCTCTATTAGTCTGTACTAGCTCTCGCAGTGAAATATTATATAGCCCAAAGCTTTCCTCTATAAATGGACTATCCAACAAAAAAAGAATTTTTGAGATCGGACCAGTACTTCCTGAAATTAGCGAGTTTAAACAAAAAAAACAAACTGTTCCGCTTTATAATATTAGTATAGTTTATATGTAT